ACATTTCTAAATTGTCCGTAGGTGTGAATGTGAGTGTGCTTGGTTGTCTGTCTCTAAGTGTAGCCCTGTGATAGACTGGCGACCTGTCCAGGGTGTCCCCTGCCTTCACCTTAAGTCGGCTGGGATAGACTCCAGCCCCCTGCGACCCTAATGAGGATTAAGTGGTGTGTAGATAATGGATGGATGTATTGTTGAGCCTCTACAGTAATATACCCATGAAGTAACTTACACTTTGACGCCTAAAGAAGTGTCTTATGTCCAGTGTTCTTTTCTTTGACATCCTTCAAATCCTAATTATCAAACACACACACGCACACACACAGGCACGCAAACAGACACAAATAAAAATGTAAATGACACCACTGATTATAATCATAATATTCATGTTGATTTTTCGGTTGCCCTCCCTGCTTACACTCACAGTTGCAGATACATGCACTGCCTTCTGTCCGGTCCAACAGGTTGTAAGTAGCTTTTACAAGCAAATGGAGTGACAGCGGGGACGGCCAATCACATGTATGTTAGCGAGAAACTGGCAGAGCCAATCGGGAAGTGATATTTAAGTTAGGTTCCAGCAGAAACCTACTGTTAACCCTTTGTGTGCCATAATCATTAACTAAACACTACGGACAGCAGTTGTATTGACACACATTAGTGGCTGGATATCAGTAGGGACGTGTCCCGAGCATCCCTACCCAATTCTACGCCCCTGCTTGATTGTTAAGTTGAAAATTCTCAGGTTGTGACAATGGTTATTAGATTAAGATCATAGTGTTGTGTTGTGTCAGTTAAACTGTTAATAAGCTGCATTTTAACCTGCAGTGTTCCCACGAGCACCTATAATGGATCTACACTGAGCTGGCTTTTCTGACAGAAGCCCACAGAGACAAGGCTTGTGAAACCCCCGAATACATCCATACATGACCACACCATTCTTGTGTCAGTGCAAACAACTTCACTTGACATTGTTTCTGGTGAGAGTGCAAGGTCTATTGTTCCTCATATTTCTTCTGTGTGTCACATTCATCAACACGTGAGTACTATGCGGACCTACACATTGTTGTCAAGTGTGAAAGATATATGTTGACAATGCAAAGCTCTGCTACAACCCAAACATGTGTCAAATGACACATACTAAGAGGGAGCTAATTAGAGAATTAAACGAGTCTAGCAAAGATAGATGGACATACCACAATTCCTGTTTTCTTTGTTTTTGCTCATGGGCAAAAACAGAGGGTGGTGTGCTTTCACAAATGATCACAGCAACTATCCCAATACTGAAGGTTTTAAATGCATAGTTGAGAAAAAAAATGCAATCTAGTTAAGTTAACAAACTTTAGGTCCAATTTGAGCTCGGTGTTTGCTTATGTAGTTTTTTTTTTATAGTTGTTTGGAAAAGTATCTAAAACCCCAAAAAGGATAGCTTGAGTTTTGAATTTGAATTGTGTTTCACAAGGCCAAGAATGCACCACCTTCAACCAACTTAATGTCAGAACCAAGTGCTAGATGTCTATAAACAGAATTTTTTTTTTTTTTTTTTTTGGGCACTTGGGTGAAACAAAACTTTACCCTGACAAAAACACCTGGTTTCTGGCCGATATCTATGGTTTACCTTTGGTCATATTGCTGCAGATTTGCAGCAAGGCCATGTTTCGTTGTGTAAATCTGCTTGGTGGCAAACTTGTTGTGGACTTCTGGCTGACTTTGTGGAAAACTTATTGCATTGATTTTTAATTTCATTTTCTTGCTGCCAGTGTGCTATACCCATTGTATCTGTCTGAGGGTCACAGATTGAATGGAGCCCATCCAGAGGTGGTGATGACCTTGGACAGATTGACAGTTCATCGCGGGTCCAACACTGAGAGACAGCACCATTTGTGCCCATTTTCACACCAACAGTGGATTTACAATCACAGTTCAACTTGTATAACCTTGGACTTTAGACTGTAGGAGGAAGCCAGAACACCCAGAGGAGACCAAACCTTGTTGCAAACAGCAAACATTCTTGCAAACCTTCCACAAAGTTACCCCAAAAGCTCACTGCAAGTCTAATTAAGAATGAAAGCATACCTGTTCTGCAAATTTTCGGCAACACTGCCAAAGGTTAACGCCAACCCTCTGCCAAAATCCTGGGAAATATAAATAATACTATTCTTCCCAGAGACGCTATTTATGTCAAACATAAACTCACTTGTTTGCAACTAATTCCAAGCTTGTTACCAGAAGGTTATGAGAAGTTTCGAAGTACTGGCAAACTGGGTAGCAGCAAACTTCTCATTATGATCAGATGTTCCCAGAAGTTTGCCACTAGTGGCCAACATTGGAAGAGTTTTGACACCTTGATGTCATCATACAGATATGAGACTAGCAAAGATTTTGTCATGTAACTCTCCACTCCAATATCAAACTGTTTCTTTACATTTGGTGATTAAGTATCATATTTTACAACTGAAAAATAAAGGACAAATTGTGTAACATGAACTCAAATGACCCCAGTCACACTGGTGGCATTTTCATTTTCTAATTTCATGTTACTTATTGACCCACATAGTTGTATACACTTGCATTGATTTATAGGTAGAAAGGTGGGTGTAGAATCTACGCATCACAACAAAACTGGTTAAATTATTTATTCTTTAGGGTTTATGGGTTCTTTCATTGCTAACTGGCCAAAATATCAGGTACAAACTGAGGTTCAGTTCACCCTCAATCCTATTCAAAGTCATCATTCAAGCTGAGTCACCATGTTTTGGATACTTGAAGAACAACATCTATGTGCATAAAAACAAAATGCTACCTCCTTCCACTCCCTCTTAAAACAGAACATTTTGGTTTTCGAGCACAGGTACTGACCCAAATCTGCCACTGGTTTACACCAAGTTAGTGTTAATATTTCCCAAGGGTGACCACATTTACAGCTTCTGGGTCCAAGTTTTGATGAAATGTGCCTTCAGTAACACCAATGGCATTGCTAGCAGACAAATGCTTATTTTGACAACAAAAGAGAGCTTAAAACTGGCATTTGACATTGGATACGTCCAAAGTAATCCATCAGGCACCTTTTTCAGGCTGTATCCTCATGTTGTATTATGGTGGTGTTCTTCAGGGATTTGGGAGCCTCTTTCGTGTCATGACGCTTCACAAAAGACTTTGGATCTCTCTCAGTTAGGTGTGTCTTTTATTCTCAGACTGTACAAAACAGCACTGAAAATGTGTATTTGCAGACTACAGCCTGAGGCCATAACAAAAAATGATCCATTACAAAAATCTGAAGAAAAACACTGAGACTTTTATCACATCAATAGATCTCAAAGGAGAACACTTGTGATCAGATCACTGATACTGGCCTTTTATCGACCCAATGAATAATAAAACAATGTTTATGCGTATACATTATAGGTTCCTACGCAACACTCTCCCTGCTCATACGCAAGACAGCGATCAAATGTTTTTCCATTGGACAACATTAAGCAACTGCCATTAAGGCTACATTATACTACATTTAAAAATCATATTATATGATAGACCAAATGCACGACGATTGCTAATGCACTACTAAAGCTGACTGCAAGACAACAAAATTGGTATGACTGTAAGTTACAGACCCCCTGAGATAGGTGCTGATAACCCAAAAGGAACCCAGGAATGTCATTATGTAACACAAAAATGATTACTTTGAAATGAAAAGACTCATCAGAAAATCACATTTTCTCTATCTGTCATTAAACAACAACCTTTAAACCAGTTCCTGTTGTGCAGTTTTCTTTCCTACCTCATTGAGTACTGGAAGGAGCTCAATAAAAGCACTCTCAAGGTGATCTGTTGCATCTCATCGATGATCGATGTCAAATGAACAAATAGGAAGAAAAGAAAAGAAGGGTATAAATGAGTGGACTTTTTGACAACAAACTGTATTATAATTCTTCCATGGCAAGCTAGGTGTCATCATGTGAATCCATCAAATACGCATGATGCTTTCTGATTAAGGCATAGAACTGGTGATGATTATCTTCAGATAAATAGCAACATAATGTGCAGTAATGGCAGTGACAAGTTTTATAACTCACACTGAGAATTTGCCATTGTACACTGCTGTATTTCTACACATTATTTATCTGATAACTAACTTTTCAGATTAAGATTTGACATAAAAATCTGACTAAAGGACTTTTCCTTGCAGTTGAGCTATTTTACAATGTTGAATCTCTACTTTTACTTATTCAAGTTTTTCTTTCACCACCACACAGCTGTTTTTTACAAAGCAAGAAATTAACTCCAAAGCCTTCAAATCATATATATGTATAGACACAAACATGTTTATGTAAGACGTTGCTAAAAATGCAAGTTACTTAATTTTTCTACACAATCAAAATGCATGTCAAAGGCTCAGTTCAGGTTACACTATTGTGTTCCCTCACACGCCCCTTGTGGAGACAGTGGTATAAATGGAGAGATCTGATAGCAGAGAGCAAGACACAAAATGAAGACTTACAGGTGAGTCCCAAAATAACTTTATCTGGTTGTCTGATACTTCAGGTTGTATTTGTTTATAATATATGAAGTGAAAAAGATTATACTTTGACAAAAAATGTTTACATGATTTTTGCTGTTTTAACAATCTGCTGTAAGTTCAATCAAAATCACATCAGATTAGATATAATTTGAGTTGAGTTTATTTCACATTTTCTTGATATGTAAAATTCTGGATTCGTTCATGAGGGACGCATAAAAAATTCTTTCAATCCTGCAAAGATATCAGTATTTCCATTTCAAGAAAATAAACATGCATGTATCCTGATGGTGCTGAAGCATGTTTTTCTCGCTTACTGTGTGGTGCACAATGGGCTCAGGTCTATTACCTTTTAAACCTTATCCATCTTGCACAGGATAGCTATCTGGATCTGTTGTCTTTGACCTTTAAGGAAAAAAAGGCCGGTTTGCTTTCAAAGCACTCTCCTTCAAAAGAAATTGGTGAGCTGTTGTTGAGTTGTTTTCCTGTTTTCTCACAGGTCCACTCTAAGAACAATAAGGCTGGTCGTTCTTGTGTGCCAGCTTGGCCTAATTCAAAGGACTGATGCCCAGATACGAGATGAATGCATTCTCAGTGACACTAACAGAGCTCCAGGTTTGTGGCATTTTCTTCTGTATACTCTTCAGTTACAGTCATTTTCAAACCTCTTCGATTTACATCCTCCATTTTTACCTCTCCCAGAAAACTCGGACATAAAGGTGGGGTGCGGCACCGAGTACATGGACCTGAGCATCTATGTTTGCCCAGTGTACAATTCTCTTTACAACGAGTCCCTGATGGTGCTCAATAATCAAGTCAGCAACCCTGAGTGTTACGGGACTGTTAACTGGACTGCTGTCCCACCACGCTTGGAATTCCGATTCCCCATAAATGGCAGCCACGACAGCTCTTTCTGCAGTAATACGTATAAGGTATCATTTGCTATTGCTTTTGCTGCTCTTTTTGAAATGTACATGAAGTGAGACACCTTTAAAAGAAGTTTAGAATAATTCTGAATAGTACAGTACAAAACAGCACTCTGTGGTTAAAGTCTGATTTTGATAGAAGTGATGAGCATCATATTAAAAACAAGGGTTTGGAAGTCTGTGTATTTGCATCAAATAACAAATCCAGTGACTTTACTGAAATATATGTTTTTGTTTTTTTTAATTTTTTTTTCATGAAAAGATAACCAACGAGGTGGGCACTGGAGAGTTTTCTGACTTCTCACTTGTCCAGTACATCAACATCTCCGGCACTATTGTCTCTATAGATCCCACTGCGGGTGTGATCACCTATCAGCGGCCAATCCTGTACAGGTTCTCCTGTAAATACCCGATGCAGTATCTGCTCAACAACACTGAAGTGGCCGTGTGAGTATGCCATGTGACACCCAGACTGACGCCTACATATTTTGATCTATTCTAATAGGTATATATATATATATATATATATAACATGAATTTCTTTTCGCTGAATGCAGATCAGGTGCGAGTCTTGCCATAAGAGACAACAATGGTAGCTTCATCAGTACACTGTATATGAAGCTCTATCACGTAAGACCTGTGCTTCTTTCATTTATTTATTCAGAGAGTGGCTGTTTAATATATATATACAATTCAGAGTTTTATCATGGATTTTGGATTCACTTTACAGGATCCAGAACGCCTAGAACCACTATTGATCCCAGAGACGGGGCTCAGTCTAAAGACGAGGATTTATGTTGGAGTTCATGCTAAGAATCTAACAGAAAAGTATTTTAGTTTTTACAGTTTTTACAGTATACCAGCAACAGTAATATGAAAGACACTAAAAGTCCCGTCTGTCCGTCCTCAAAGGTTCCACGTGCTGCTGGACAGATGCTTCGCGACAACATCTCCATATCCCGTGCATGACACCCACTATGATCTGTTTGTAGGGTGAGTGCATAAATGGAACCATAACATACGATACCTTTTTTAAATTACTCTGACACTCAACTCTAAGCGAGTTTTTTGTACAAGTGCATGTCTCTTGTTTCACCCAAGGTGCACGGTGGATGCGCAGACCAAGGTGGAGGTAAATGGGCAGGGACAACAGGCATACTTTTCCTTTGAGGCCTTCAGATTTGTGGAGCACAAAAATCTGACTATTTCGACTTTCTACCTGCACTGTGTCACCAGACTCTGTGATGCAACGAAGTGTAGCTCACTACTGCCTGTGAGTGAACTTGACTTGTGTTTATAAATCACATAGCCTAGATAGATGGTACTGAGTTCTGATTTGTCTTTGTTCAATAGACATGTCCCAGTAAGAGGAGGAAGAGAGGGATCGAGGATGTGCCGACCAACGGCACAATCACCTCTCCCATCATTCGTGTGGGCACAGGGAAAATTGGTGCGTGTCTAAGTCAAAACACGACAAAGACATCTCTTCATCCTATAACAATGACACTTTATTCAGTAAAATAAGACACGAAAATGATTTGCGTCAACTCTTGTTTAAACTTGATGAATAACTCAAGGCAAAATAGAGGATTTGTCTTGTTTGATCAACTTTGCAAAACATGATAAATAAAATTAGCCAGGTCCATAATGACCCCCTTTACTTGTGTTACGATATCTTGCCTCATAAGTTTTGTTATATTTGGAAATATACATCTTCTTGTTTTTTGCTGAGAGTTCAATGTCTGTTAAATATGAAGGTATAGCCCACATAGTTAGCATGTTAATTAGTGAACCTTGGCGAGGCCTCTAGACGGCTTTTTGTTAACTTTTGACAAAGCTAGGCAGCCTATTTCCACCTGTTTTCATGCTGTATGCTAAGTGTAGTTTCCAAAAATGTACAAAAAGGGATACCTGCAATCTCTTGATAATATTTTTTCTTTTTTTTTTAGAAGATTCTCAAACTCACGCAGCTTCTCAAGGTAAGAATCTGCCATATGTCTGTCTGTATAAATGTACTTGCTTCGGGCGTTTTCGCCTCATTCATTGGTATAATCAACAGCTGTCTTATTGTCTGAAAAGCTAATGCTTTCCTTGTTCCGTGCTCTGGCAGGTACGTCAGCCGACTACAGCAGCCCTGTGGTGGCTATAATCGTCTGCCTTGCCATTATTACTCTTCTCATCACTGCCCTGGCCATTTACTTTGGCTTGTTCATCAGACGGAGAAGACCGTCCTCCTAGCATCTCCCCACTGAGAGCGGAGTCCCTGTACATATCTCCCAAAGCTCACAGTGCACTACTCCATCATCTACAAAGCACAGCAGTTATGTCGCAGATAAACAAGTCACGAGAAACTACAGCAAGAAACATACAGCTTTACTTCTGTGTAGCTTCTGCATTTCACAAACATAGCATCACAAGACAGAGGTCACGCATGCAACTACATAATCACCATAAATCACAGTTTGGTAATGTGGAGATGAGGGCTCAGAATATGTATAATAATTGTATATTATAATTCTTCATTTTTTTTTATCATGTTTTATTATCAGAGTCATATTGGAGTAATTTATGAATGGGGACATGTGTTGAAATCAATAGGAAATGGTGTACTGTGAGAACTATGAAGAAAGTAGTCACGCTTTGTTGCTTATTAAAACATTAAACTCTATCATTTTGACTGTCTCTCATGGGTGAACAGTCTCAATCACAGAAAGCTAATGTTGGCGTAAGATGAAGAATAACTGACTAACATTAGTATATATATATTAGTATATATACTATACTCAACAAAACTGCCAGGTTAGGAAAAATAACTCAACCTTAACACTACTAGAGGGTCACTATGGGACATTAGTTTCACCCATGTCCTGGAACTGACCATTTCATCCAGAAGATTAGGTTGCTAATTTGATTCAACCTAGTGATTAAAATGAACTGTCTTGCTGGGTTAAATATTACCAATTTACTGAACTTTTTCTTCTCTTATTGTTGTCCTATTTTTCTATTTGCTGCGACTACTACCTAAAATTACTCTGAATGCATACACATGTACCACTGTAAACCCAGGGACTTTGGGTAATGTAAATAAAACTTTAACTAATTTGACTCTACAAAAAAATACAAAGTGTAATTCATAAACAATGGGACCACTTGAGAGTAAAATTAAACTGTATAGGATAAAATAAAAATAACATTACTTTGCAAATATATAGTCTGCAAAAAGCAGCAGTAGGCCACCTTTAGAAGACTTGATCTGGAAACATCATTATTTAAATTACAATGAATATGAAAAGTTTTTTTTTATGGTTTTGCCTGCACTCCAAAGAAATATTCAGGGACTTGTAAATTTTCTTGTATCCATCCCCAAACTCATGCACAGTCACTTGTGACACATTGACTAATTGTGTAACTTCCAGCCCCATTTGNGCTTAATCCTCACTAGGGTCATGGGGGGCTGGAGTCTATCCCAGCTGACTTAGGGCGAAGGCAGGGGACACCCTGGACAGGTCACCAGTCTATCAATTTGGCTGTCATGTCAAAGTGAAAATAGATTTCCTCTGGAGAATCATATATAAAACTTGGATATCTACACCACGAAGACAAAAGAACAGAGGAGTCATAGGTTCATAGGTGTCTTGGTGGCCTTCCTTACTGGTCTCTTTCTTTCAGTCACTCAGGTTCTAAAGATGAAATTATGGTTTTGCCTGCACTCCAATGAAATTTTCAGGGGCTTGTAAACTCATGCACAGTCACTTGTGACACATTTACTAATTGTGTAACTTCCAGCCCCATTTGACTCCATCAGTTTCAAATGAGTCACTTTCAAGGGGTCAATACTTATACAGTCACTTATTTTATTACCTTGTAGAAATCTGTTTCCACTTTGGCATGAAAGAATCTTTGTTCTAAATTCTTGTCAGAAAAGAAAAATTAAATTGAACGTGATTCAATGTTTAAAAAACAATAAAAGGGGAAAACCTTCAGTAGAGGTGACTACGTCTTACAGGCCTTGTATCATAAAATCAATATAATGAACAGTCTCCCAGAGATGATAAATAGATTTCATTTAAACTCTGAAAGCCACAAGGGGGCGCTGAGTCTGTTTTTTATTCTAAAACAAAGTTGTCACAGTGACTTAGCACTTTTAGAAAATAAACATTTGTGCCAAGTAACTTTAGCTATCATTTTCAGTTTCTGGCATTCTCCTATTCAGCAACAGAGAGTTCCACTATTAACACTTAACATCCACATGTTACAGTCTTCTTTTAACTGACTCCTACGCTTCACTAAATAATTTGTTTTAAAGATCAGTAAACGCCCCGTGCCCCCATACCTTCATGTAATTACACCAGTAGAATTCATGAGTATGCAATATTAGTCAGCTGGCTAATGCTACATTTGCTAGCTAGCTAATGTTATGTTAGCTAACTAGCTGACATTGCCTAAAATTCTTAAAATGAAAGTGTGAAATGGGACAGCTAAATATAGGTAAAGAAAAGAAAATCTGGAGATTTCCAAACAATAAATTTCAAAATTCAAAAACGCTACAGATATAGCCAGCTAGTGAACATTATACCAATTGCAAAAGTTAGCCAGTGTAGCTAGCTAGAGGCTAATTAATACACTGTACTGTACAGACAAGACTGTGTTTTCTTTGGTCATTTATTTAAATACTTGGCTGCTTGGGAAAAAAAAAAGAAAAAAGTTCTAAGGCCGTTGAAGATTGATTATTTCACTTAAATTTTATGGCCACCTGGGGGCAGTCATTAAACGTTATGCATACAGTAATGATATATTGAGTTAATATGACAAGTTTATTATTTACACACCTTGCAGCGAACACAGCCAATATTATACTTCAGTTGGAGATGTGTTTCTGACCACCTGGTGAAAATAAATCTAATAGTTTTTTGCTTTGTCTCTGGCGACTCCCAAAGGAAAAATCTGTCCCTTCAGTTTCATTCCCACTAACTTAGTCTGTTGTGTCTGTTGCTGCTGTGGCTGAAAACTGTGCTCTTAACACAGTCAGAGGAAATTCTTGATCATCTTCTTGAACTATATCTCTGCAAGTCTCTTCAGTTGACGTGAATTTTTACTGGTCTCATAAAAAATAAAAAACAATTACATCCTCTGCTTTCAAGCTTTATATTAAGTGAATGTAAAATGGGTCATTTAATTATTTTAGTAAAAAAAAAAAAAAAGGTGATTGTAGTCAGTTCCTGACCATACTTTTGGCCCACTTTTTCAGGATCAACTCACAATTACTCTACTTATTATGGTAAGAGTCTTCTTTAAAAAATCAGAAAATGTAATATAATTTTGTATTATAATTAGAATTTCCATTTAATCTATAATAGCACAAAAGGTGAATCCTGTGAACCATAGTTTTGTTTCACTGTTTTAGGAGCTTACATGGCTGATCAAGGTACAAATCTTTTCAAGGGCTCAGAATACATACAATAACAATATATATATATTTGATCATGTTTTATAATTAGGATCATATTCATGGCATGTTAGTCAATGGGATGTTCAAACATATCATATAAATTGTAGACCTTCAGACTGTGAAACTTATGAAGAAAGTCCTCGTGCTTTATTCTGCTATGAAACATAGACAGATATTAAGCTGATATAGATTTTTTCTCATAACAAAAAAGCCAAAAAGTGTAATTCCCAAAATATCCAGATCCTAACTACTTCACATGATGAATACAAAATACAGAAAAGTGGATCTGATCACTCCAGTTCTTCTTTAAACTGACTTCTTGTCCACCAAAGAATTGATTGTAAATTCCTGGACCAAAAATAAATTGGTTTATGTTATGAGTCATCCAGACCTCTCAGGTCATCTGGGACAGATCTAGTCTTTGTCCCCAAAGTCAGAACAAAGCACAGAGAAGCAGCTTTCAGTTTTCACACCCCACAAATCTGGAACAGACTCCCAGAAAACTGCAGGTCTGAAGCAACTATCAGACTTTTTTTTTCTTCTTAAATTTAATTTGTCTCTGCCTTTAATTGAACCAAACCTTTTGAGCATCTTAAACCGCAGTATAACTTTTACTCTCTATTTTATCTCTCTTTTTTATTCTTTATTTAACTTCCTTTTTTTTCTTCTTAAATTGCTGTTCCTTTTGCACCTTTTATTGAGGCTTTTTAATGTTTTATGTAAAGCACTTTGAGTTACCTTGTTGTTAAAAGCTGCTATACATACGAACGTGCCTTGATTTACAATAGCAGATGATTTCCTGACCATTATTTTGGTTCGTTTTTTTCAGAAGGGGCTCATAGTTACATCAAACCCTGCATTACATGTAGCCTGTGTCTGTCTGAAATAAATAAATGAACTTCCTCCATCTGTAATTAGCAACTTTACTGAATAGTTCCATGAAGTATATTATTGTCTGATAACTTTATGTTTTTCTTCTTCCCTTGCTCTTACAGGTACGTCACCGGACAGCAGCTACAGCGGCCCTGTGGGAGCTGCAATCCTCTGCCTTCTCATCATTGTTATTTGATCATTTATTTTGTTTTGTACGTTTGGCTGAGAGTGGAGCCTCGTTGCATATCTCCAAAAACTCAAATACAGCGAAACAAATCATGAGAAACTATAGTAAGAAACACACAGTTAAACTTCTATGTAGCTTTTACATTTCACAATCTTAACACTGTGGTCAATCATGCAACTATAGAATCAACATATTCATTCATATCACATATCAGAATGTACAATACGTATATATTGTAGTCTGATTTTATCATGATTTATGATCAGAGCCACGTTGTACTCAGAAAAAACTGCCAGACAAAATTGTGAAAATTATGATAAAAGTACTTGTGTTTTGTTTTTTTTAAATATACATATATGTATATCTATATAACATTAAACTGTTGATTATTACTGTCTGTTCTGATCAAACAGTGTGAAAAACAAAGATGATGAATGTGAACATTGTTTTCTTTTTTACTGTATTGTCTTCTGATAAAATACAGTAATAATATAAAAGGTAATGGCTTTAACATGCTGTATTGTATAGACAGGAATGTGTTTTAATGCCAGAGTTATATCAACTTTTTTTTCTATATATATATATATATTCCATCTTAATAGGACAACAAAAATGGAAGTGGTTACAGTTTTCCCTTTCACAGCTTTCATATTTCACTCCAGTGTGTATCCTTCAACTTGAAATAGTGAATTTTATGGCCACCTGGAGGCAACAGAAGAACGTTATAACAGTAATAATATATGGCGCTAATATGACAGGTTTGTTATTTACACATCCCGCAGCAGACACAGGCAACCTTATAATTCAGTCGGTGATGTGTTTCTCGCCACCTGGAGAAGATAAATCCAATCTTTTTAG